TATCTAAAATTTGTTATAAAAATGTCCTTTTTGTCATTAATTTAAGACAATTTTAGCACTACACAAACTCTGTAACACAATTATGGAGGCTGGCTTCATGGCGTTTGACATCTGATCTAGTCAGGGCTAGGCTAGTGCCTGGGAGTCAGATAGAATTGTGGTAAGCGTTTGAACTCAGAGATATCAAGCCCGAGTTTGCTGGCACTTCATAATCATGTGGTCTTGGACAGATTGCTTTATGATTTGTGCTTCAATTTCCTCATCTATAAATAGGAATGATGATCAGAGAACTTGTCTCCCAAGGCTGTGGTTCTTTCTTTGTTTTGAGTCAGGGTCTCACTTTGTCACCCAGCAGGCTGGAGTGCAGCGGCACAATCAATTACAGCTCAATGCAGCCTCGACCTGCTGGACTCAGGCGATCCTTCCTCCTGAGTAGCTGGGACTGTAGGCATGTGTTACCACACCTAACTGATTTTTTTTTTTTAAGAGATGAGGTCTCGCTATGTTGCCCAGGCTGGTCATGAACTCCTGACCTCAAGCGATCCTCCTTCCTCTGCCTCTGCCTCCCAAAGTGCTAGGATTACAGGTGTGAGCCACTGTATCCAGTCTGGCTGGTTCTTAAAGTGAGGTCTCTGTACCAGCAGCATCCACGTCACTGGAGAACTTGCTAAAAAAGTAAACTCTACAGCTCACTGTGGTCCTACCTAAACTCTGGAGGTGGGGTGGGCAATCTCTGTCAGCCAGCTCTGAAGCTTCTCCAGCTTGACAGACAGTGGCATAAAAGAAAGGCAGACTGTGTGCTTTGGGTGCAAAATGAGGGGTGAGCTCTTCAACCCTGGAAATGGGGGAAGAAGAGGCCTCTGAGTTCATACCTGAAAGGTTGGGACACTGGCCAGGCAGTCTGGCAGGGCCACCGTGGAATTTGGCCCAGGTATTTGGGGGTAAGGGAGAGAAGAAGGAGCCTAGACAGGGATGAGGCCTTTATAGGAACCGGAATGTTCTACCAAGGAGACTGGACTTCTTTGAGGTGTCTTCAGTGAGTTTTTAGCAGAGGAGGGATTTCATCCCATTTGTGTTTAAGAACAGCTCTGTGAATGCCAGGAAGAAGAGGAAAGATCTGAGTGAGTAGGGAGGCTGGGCCAGGAGTTCAGGCAAGAGTGGTTGGTGACCCAGAGTGGAGACCAGGGAGAATGGAGAGGTGGGGTTACTATTCGTGGAGGAGCGGGGAAGTGAGAGCAGTGTGGAATGTAGTCACTTGGGGATGTCATGTGTTGGTGAATGAACATTTATCGAGCACCTCCTGTGTTGGTTGCTGGCGCGAGAGTCATGACCAACACAGGTGAAAATTCCTGCCTTCGTGGAACTGACATTCTTGTGGCAGAAGGGAAAGATTAAACAGAATAAAATGTATATTTCAGTTGGTGAGAAAGGGAAAAGGTGGCTTATGCCTATAATCCCAGCAGTTGGGGAGGCTGAGGCGAGAGAATCATTTGACCCCAGGAGTTCGAGACCAGCTTAGGCACTATAGCAACACCTCCCTCCTCTCTACAGAAAACAAGCCAGGCATGGTTGGCGCACGCCTGTAGTCCCAGCTACTTGGGAGGTTGAAGCGGGAGGATTGCCGGAGCCTAAGAGGTCAAGGCTGCAGTGAGCTGGGGTCTCACCACGAAAAGCAAAGCAAAAGAAAAGGGGGAAAAAAAAACACAATGCAGGGAAGGGGTAGGAGTGTGTGGACCGTTAACAGTCTCAAATAGTTTCAAATCCTGGAAGGCCTCGCTGAGGAAGTGACATGAGCAGTGAACGGATGAGGTCAGGACGTGTGGGTGTTTGGCAGAAGAGCAAGCCACACAGTGGGCAAGTTGAGGCTTCTTCGTGGCGGCAGCGGGTTTGAGGGTACAGTAAGGCGCAGCTGGCCTGGACGCCTGGGTGTGGGGGTAGCGTGGCCAAGAGTACTGACCTCCCCTCTGCCTGCCCAGGGCAAACGGAGAGCCGGGGGCGGCTGCAGGGCGTGGCAGAACTGCGCCTGGCAGGCCTGGAGCTGACGGATGCCTCCCTGCGGCTCCTGCTGCGCCACGCACCCCAGCTGAGCGCCCTGGACCTGAGCCACTGCGCCCACGTCGGGGACCCCAGCGTCCACCTCCTCACTGCCCCCACGTCCCCACTCCGCGAGACCCTGGTGCACCTCAATCTTGCTGGTAAGCCCGGCCCCCGCTCCGTCCTGCTCGCCCG